AGACACTGATGAACTGAGGAAAGGAAACAGTCAAAAAGAACAGTCACAAACAAAACAATATAAAGAATGATAAAAACATTAACATAGTCATGATAATGTTTTTGAAATTTCACATGTAATGGATAAAACTTCAGGAAAATAATATACAAAAAAAGTCACTCAGTAGATACAGAAATCTTAAACAACTGTATACCCTTCAAAGAAATTAATCAGAAATGGAAGATAGTCCTGGGAAGAAGCATATTATAAATGTTTCACCCTTATTTGGAATTATTTCCATCTTACCTAAAAATAATTTATGTTTTGTTTAAAGATTTCATTTTAATTTTAAAGCGTGTGTGTGTGTGTGTGTGTGTGTGTGTGTGTGTGTGTGTGTGGTTTGTGCACACAAGTACAGTGCTTGTAGAGGCCAGAAGAGGGCATCAGATTCTCTAGAACTGGAGTTGTTGGCAGTTGTGAGCCACCTGATGTAAGTGCAGGGAACTGAACTCAGGTTTTCAGCAAGAGGACATGCTCTTAACTGCTGAGCCATCTCTGCAGCCCTTACCTAAAAGTTTTCTAGGTAAGACACCAACAGCAAAATCTTTGTAAGAACAACAAATGTTGACAGTGACTGTAACAGTACATGAAACCTAAATTAGAAGAGAATCTGCAACCAACACTGATGAAAATACCATATGCAAATAATGGCAAAGAGAAACCAGAAAGACAGGAACATGGTAATGTACTGTGGCCAAGCTGTACTCTTCCTACATTAGACTTGATATTTTGAAAGAAATGTGTTCATTACACTGACACTGAAGAAGAAAACCAAAAGATGGAAGAACTCTGTGTGGAGAAGTATAGCACTGGATAAAATTCAGTATGTAGTTTTCTGGAATAACTATGTGTCCAGAAGGACAATAATCTAATAACAAATGTCTTAAAAATAGGCACAAATATCCACAAATGATGAAACATTGAATACTGTCCCCTCAATAATAGAACAAATAAAAAATCTTGGCTATTTACATTATTTCAACATTTATAAGTATCCTTGCCACTACAACAAAACAAATCTCCATTCAGGAAATAATAAAAAACAAAAACAAAAAAAAAGAAGAAAGAAAGAAGGAAGGAAAGAAAGAAAGAACGTAAGAACGAACAGCAAGCATACATTGCATAATGGTTACGAATAACAAAAGTCAGTTGCATGCAAATCATTAAGGTCTCATGATCAGTGAGGTCAGGTCATCAAGGGCAACACCCTCCCATCACCTCCAGTCATAGTACTTGGAAAATCAGAAATATGTTTTATATGTTAGCCTTTATTAAGTAGAGCTTTTTAAACATGAAATAATATCTACCACACAGGTCGTTCTAAACAATTAAATTCAAGAAACAATGCATATCACTTTTCAGTTGTTTGAAAATTCTGAAATCTATGATTCTCAAGAACCACTGATTCAAAAGTACAAAGTGTAACTGTAAAACAAAGAAACATGTTTTTTAAAATATTTTTCTGGGATGGAAGAGACAGCTTGGCAGATACACATTTTGTAAGACTTTTGGGTCTAAATGTATGATTTTCGGGTCTCAAGAACCCCACTGTCCCAGGACACATCC